TTCCTCGCGCGGGAACGCTCTCGGGAGCGATTCCAAGCCGCGTCGTCATGGAAGCAGCGGGTCCAGGAACAGATGGCCCAAGGAGTCGGATGGGCCGGGCCCGCCGACGGCCGGAGAATGCCACCACCTGGCAGCCCTTGGAGGTCGAGGCCAAGAACGGCCATTGGTCGGGGCAGCCCATGGAGCTCCCCAGCCACGAATCAGCGCTGGCTTCTGGGGGGCCCAAGAGACCCCGCTCCCCACGTGCCCAGCCCAGCCCGCAGAAGTAGCCAAACTCCCACCAATCACCACGGAGGCCCTCGGGGGCGCCGTCAGGACCTGCCAGACATGGGGCGGGGTCCACCCGGAGCACCTCGCGCTGCTCTCCGAAAGTCTTCGCCGATCTAGATGCGCGTCGAACAGTCGGGGGCCATGCCCTCCCAGATCTTGGCTATCCTGGCCAACCTGATCCCATAACTGAAAACCGCTGGAGGGCCAGCTTGCCGCGGCGTCGGCCTTCTCCCAGGACTTCACCGCGTCTAGGCCGAAATCCGACAGAGCGAAGCCAGGGAATGGGAGAGAGCAGACCCCTGCTCTTTCCTGGCGCACCAGGCTGGCCGCATCATCCTAGAGCCAGTGTGCCAGCAGCCGCTTCGTTCGGAATTTCGCGGCCAAAACAACCAGCACGCGCGGGGCCTGTTCTCTGGGACATGTCCAACTACTGCGAGCACATAAAGAGAGCAGCATTGCATGAGGGAGCTATCAGCAGTGGGTTCAAAAGCGCAGTCTTATGCGGTTATCCTGAACCAGTATCAAGCATGCAGATGCACCGCGTATCACAACACCGCGCAGTACAAACGGGTTTCCCAGCAGAGGCAGCCCAGCAGGTTGCGGATTCGCCATTTACCCTAGTTCAGGTGCGCTGCGAGCGGCCCCATACAGCAATGGGTGCAAGCGCACCCACAGGTGCATCTGAGCCTCTTTAGCGACGACATCTTGTTCCAAGCTTTCGACGCGTGCAAGAAGCGGCTTGCGACCGTGCTACTCGACGCGCGCATCCAGCTTCCAGGAGCCATCAAGAACGACCTGGAGTGCCAGGTCGCGGAGCAGAAGTCAGCAGCTCCTGCCTCCTTTCGGGACATCCAAGAGCGCCTCGAAATCGAGTTGGGCAAGTGCCCAGTCTTGTCGTGGAGCCAGCTCGTCTGGCGCGCGGCCACAGGCTCGGCGGCCGCGGGCGTCTCCCTCCCCGAGCTGCGAGCCATGGGCCAAGCCGCCCTGGGCCAGTCGCCAGCAGCGTGAGGCAGCTGCAGAAGTCCACTCGGCGCCGCCTAACTCGGCCTCCAGAGGGCCCAGTGGACCTTCGCGACCCCGATCATCCTACAAGACACCAAAGGAAAGCATCATATACTGAGAATATACTGACAAGTACGTTCCCACGTCTCTTACAATATTCCCTTCAGCGTTCTCGGGAAGAGAAGCTCCCAGGAACAACAGCCACCAGAATGGGTCTCGAGGGAGCTACCTTCAGCGTCGCCCAGAAGTGCCTCCAGCCCGTCACCCTCGCAAAGATCCAGACATCTACGCCCCTCGCCTTCCAGCGCCGAGCTATTCGGACCCGTTCTGGCCCCTGTGCAGCAGGCTACGAGATGGAGGAAGGAGGGTGCACATGCGGCGCAGAGTCTGACGACATCCCGCACCGAGTCGGCCAAGTTCTGGCCCGTGGACCCCGAGGCTTCGCCCGAAGCCAGTTTCGTCGGGGAGGTTTCCACGGACGGCTCGCGTTCAAGACCAGGAAGCCAAGCCCACCTCGCAGCGGGATGGACGGCGGTGAAGACCAACGGGGATTGCGAAGTAGTCGCGGCCTTGATTGGTCAAGTAGGCCGAGGTCTCCCTCACTCCTCCCCTGCCGCTGAGCACAGTGCTCTGCTTGCTGCTGTGTCCTCCACTTCTCGGAGCACGGAGATCTCGGTCGACTGCCATGGAGGTGTAGATTTGTACGCGTCGGGGCTTTCTCGGAAGAACCGATATGCAGGGGTCGGCCTTCTCGCCCGCTCTGCTAACGTAAAAGCCCACCAGAAGCCCGACGCTTTTCCAATAGGAACTCCCGAATAGGAGGATATTCGAGACAACCACGGGGTGGGCCGTTTTGCCGGCATCGCTTCGAGAGCTTTCAATCGAGCTTTGGACGGGGAGGCCGAAACCCATGCCACGGAATGCACGCTGCTCAGTCAATATCTGCACTTCGTTGCCCGCGCCTTGCAGGAGTGGCCTCCTTTGGGGCCCAGCGGGGCCAAGAAACCTCTTGGCAAGCCCCGGCAAAGCCACTCGCCAGCAGTAGGGGCAGTGGTGGTGCAATAGGCCTGGGGCCACCCCCAGCACCAACCTGGCGCTGCTCCTCCCCCTTTCCGCCCCCTCGTGCAGCCCTCGCCCTCGTGCAGTCTCGGGGGCGGGTAGGGGGCATCGCTGGGATGAGGCGGGGAAGCGATTTCTTTGCATAGATTGCCGCAGTAGGGCAGCCAGCAAGAAGCCAGGGCCGCGTATCGGATACGCCCCGCGCCTGGCTGCCCTCTGCGCCAGGCCCCAAGGGCACAGCTTGTGCGTTTCAGAATCCTATCGTGGGGGCTCTTTCATGTTGGCCTGTGACAAGTGTGGTACATTCGCAGAGTCCCAGCCGAGGGCCCTCGAATCGTACCCAGTGGATCCTCCTCCTCAGCGGGAGGCAATCCAAGGGAACCCGAACCTCCCCTATTCGCTACGAGCGCCCGATGCCGCTCGCCGCCTACCTCCATCGCCAGTGAGACGAGCTGGACCAGGAGGCCGCCCCACCGCCCCCGCCAGATGAGCAGGAGGAAGAGGTGGGCGGCCAAGAGTCAGGAGCAGTCGACCCCTAATCCGCGTGGTGGTCCTCCTCCTCCTCCTCCTCCTCCTCCTCCTCCTTTCCTCCTCCTTCACCTCCCTTCTCCTCCTCCTTCTCCTCCTTTTCCTGGGTGGGTAGGTTAGATGTGTGTTCCAGCACTGGAATCGACGGCGAGCACGGGAGGCGGGCACACGCGAGGTGGTTCAACGCCAATGGACCCTTTATGTAGACAGGACCAGGCTGTGATGCGCAGCTTACAGCATACATGTTGCATTGGGATTGGCGGCGAGCAAGGGAGGTGGGCACACGCGAGGCAGCGAAATGGCCATGGACCCTTCTGTAGACAGGACCAGGTTGCACTGCGCAGCTTGCAGAATACATTTTGCGCCACATAGATTGCGCAGCATCTATTGCAGTCTGTGCGGTGCTGCGAATACATCAAACAGAGTGCTATTGCATCTATCTTCCTTTGTTTGAATCCTCTTTACCTCCGTCTCTGGCTGCTGTCATGCCGACCGCCGCCTTAACCTTATGTGTATAGGAAGTTCGCTTCAGGACCACAAGTGTATAGAGGACCAGTGCTATAGTGTACAACTTACCGACGGGTGCCTCCGCGAATATGAGGAGCTTTCGACCCTTGGGGCGAATCTAACGGACCACGAGCTGCTGCAGATTTGGCCGCATACATTGCACATCGGGAGTGCAAGAACCTACTGTTTGGAGTCCAGGTACGCTCATTTCAGGTTGAAAATGAGAATGCCCTCCATCAGTATAACTGTTGCACCAGTTTACGCATCTGCTCATATGTCTAAGGATGCCTCCAGCTCGAACCCTCCTTTGAAAAAGGGGGCACCCTCCATCAGTGTAGCGGTTGAAAGGTCTATGAAACGGACATGCGCGCTGTGATGGCGAGAGCCCCAGTGGAAAGACGGCCCAGCCTCCATCCTTGAAGTTGTTGGAAGGTTGTAAAAGGAAGACGTGATACACCAAGGCGAGATGAGCATTTCGAAATCAATTCGCCCTTAAGGGAAAATGATTAGTGCCGAGCTCAAGCGAGAGCCACGTTTTGAACATCGAGTCTGAAAACCATTGGCCTTTCATATTTGTAGTTTTCGTTGTTTCAGCATGTGTGTTTGCCAGTGTGGGCGTGCCCCAAAAATTGTGCGTGCGCTCGGGATGTGGAAGCTATATGGTGGAAACAACGTGGGGCAATCCAGGCGGTGCAAGCTGTGCGGTGGAAACCAGTCCTCCACTACACGTGGTGCAGGCCAGGTCATGCAGGCTGTGTGGCGCAACCTATGTGGTGCTGGCTGGTTGGTGCAATCTGTGCGGTGCAGTGGACGTGGTGGAAGCTGCGTGGCGGAGGTTGTGAGGCGCAAGCTGCGTGGTGCAGCCGGCGCACGAGGGACCCACGCGGCAGCCAGGAGGCGCCCGCGAGGCGCCCACCCGCGGCCACGGCCGGCGCCCCGGCGAGAATTCGGAAGCGCACGCCAGCGCACGGCGCGAACTGCACACAACGCGCCTTTTTCTCAGAGGAGGAATCTTCCTCCTCCTTCTGCTCCGCCTCTTCCTTCTCCTGCGCCTCCGCCTCCGCCTCCCTCTCTTTGGAGGAGGAGGCAGAGGGCAAGTTACCCATACCGCTGCCCTTGCCTCCTTTTCGCCGTTTTGGCCCTCCTGAGCGGCCTCCGCCGCCGCCGCCGGATTCGCGGCGAAATCCTCGTCAGAACGCACCCCGGGAGAGGTCTGGGGAGTAGCGGTACTTATGGGTACCTCTTGATCTCCCCACACTGGGCGACCACGGGCGGCCACGGGCGGCGACAAGATGGAAACCGCATGCGAATTTGAGAAGCAAAGCAAGCATCCATAAGTGCAAGCACGTTTTGGATACGTTGAACAAGTCGGAACGGCGCTGAGGCGAGAGCCACATATTGAAAAGCACCCGCCATCCATCCTTGTAAATACGTGTTGGAAGGTTCAAGCCTCGGGGTCATAAGCGGTGGGAAATTCTCAGGCGAAACGCCAGGCCCGCCTTGCCGACGCGTCTGCGACGTGGAGGAGTTCTTGTTCTCGAGAAGCAACAGAGATGAAGGGAGAATGTGGGTGGGAGCGGTGGGAGCGTGAGGAAGAGGAGTTGTCTTCTGCGCCTCCCCCGACGGCCCTGGAGGACCCTCTGTCCCCTTACTTGGTGGCCATGCGGGGCTACATGCCGCCTAAGCACAGCGACTTCATCTCGCGGCTTGAGAGTGGGCCCTCTGTTCGCGGAGTGGTGCTTCAGGCCCTGCGTGAGCAGGGCTGGAAGAGTGGGGTGGAGGAGGAACTCGGAGCTGGGAACTCGACGATCCGCGCATGAGCCAAGGGCTCCCTCGAGGGCGCGAAGTTATTCGCGCTTCGCGCTTCGCGGTCCTCGTTCCTTCTCCCCCTCCTCCTCGTCCTCCTATTCTCCCTTTGGGAGGGCGGCGCGAGAGCGCGAAGTTATTCGCGCTTCGCGCTTCGCGCAGCGCGAAGCGCGAAGTTGGGAGCCCTAGAGGAGGAACTCGGAGCTGGGAACTCGGCGATCCGCGCATGAGCTCAACAGGGAACCACTGACAAGGGTGTGCAAGTACGGTGGGGGCTTTCGCTCAGGAATGCGCCCAGGAGGCTTCCGACCCTGGAGGATTCCTTATCTTATGAGGAGGAGGACGAGTGAGGGACCAGATGCAGTCCGAAGCAGCGCCCTTCCCCTCGAGGTCCCACGCCTCGCCGGGGGCGTGACTATGGGGGGGCTTGCCGCCCCGTCGCGTCCAGCCGTTAGGGGAGCACCACGTATCTCGTTTAAGATACGGCAGAGACGGAGCGAGTAGATAATCCGAGTATGCTTCTCCGATGTCTCGATCAAAAACAAATCTTATGAGGGCGGCGGTGATATCCATGGCCAATCCACGATTGGAGTTCCGCTGGCTTCCAGACCCTGGATTGGGAAGGCTGTACGGCCGGCGCCGCCGACCCTGAAGGGGGACGACGACAACGACGACGCCGACCCTCTGGAGCCCTTCTCGGGGCTCTGTTGGGAGCCTATTGGGCTCTGTTGGGGGGTCTCCGGGAGGACTTCTTGGGAAGCTCCGCGGCCGCTTGGAGCCGCCTCGGAGCGGATCTGAAGCCTCTTGGAGGCATGTGGGAAAACATATGCAGTACCCCGCAACGACAGATAAGAGTGAGGAGGGTGCCTCCGGGGGGCGGGTCCGGGAGGAGGAGGGGGGGTGATGGTGGTCCCCTTGTCCACATGGGGGGAGGCGGGGGGAGAGGTTTTGCATTGTCCCTTGTCCACAAGGGGACCCCCCCCCCTGTCCCCCGGCGCGGCGACAGCGACGACGATGACTCAAACGGAAAAACGTCTCCCGCATGCCGACATGTTCGGCGGGCTTCCAGACCCTGGATTTCTTACCCAATGGTTACTTATCCAATGCCCTCAACGTGCGCAAAGGATGTCGTCTGTCAGCAGTGGTTGTGTCGTGAATGTCAGCCTGCTCCCAGGCACATCCTAAAGGTCCACACGATCTGAGGATTCTCCGGCCGCCCCGCGGCCTTCCTTCTCCTCGCCCCTCGCCCGCCTGCGCCCCTGTGCCTCACTTCGCAGCGGATGCGTCTCGCCGTTTGTTTGACCGCTGGTCGGACCCAACTCGTCGCAGGCCGAACACAACCACGCAAAGGAAGAGGATGACACACATCAGTGGCCGTCTTGGCTCAAGGATACATCAGGACCCCCCCCCGGACTCGAGGCCTTGTCTGGCCAGCGTGGGGCAGGGGGCGCACAGGTGACCGGCCAGCCAGAGCTGACCTTTTCCTTCCAGCACACGGCTCACTTCACACTCTTCCCTTCGGAGAATGGCACTTTCCACCGCACTGTCGTCCCAGACCGCGAAGGCCCCATGGGCAATGACTCAATTTTGCCTGGGAGTCCAAATGATGCAACAGGTGGCAGCCCTCCAAGCGAAACCGCAGTCGGATATCCAGTCGCCAGCCGCCCAGAGATCCTTCCCGAGCGTCGAGTGCGGCGTTAAATCGTATGCCAGACAAATGAAATAATGGACCCATCAGTGCATCAGAGGTCCTACGTTTGATCGGCAAGACACCGATTGCATGCATGTCGCGACCAGTCATGCCAAGCACCAGCCAGCGCTTTCGACACCTGCGCAGACGGCAGCAGACACGCCCGACCTATTAAAGTCCCTGTCTGTCCTGAGCGCTCTTGCTTTGGTCACCAGACGGTCTGGAAACGAAAATCTAGACTCGCTGGCGCAGGGGAGCTCCGAGAGCTCCTCCTCTCTCCCCTCCGCCGTCTTACGGCGAGCAGAATTGGGCGCGAATTCGGCCAACCGCGCGCCCATCCCCAGCTTTCGGGCCAGCCCCTACTGCAGTCCTCAAACTGTTCCTCCATATCCCCCGCCTCGCCGGTCGTCTGCGCCTCTGGTGGCCCTATCAGCCCATGCCGACGTCTGGGTTTTCAGTCGGCTGCCCTGGAGACGGAAGGAGGTGAAGGAGGAGGAATAGGATGAAGGGAAGGAAGGAGGAATGTAAGGATGATGGTGATGATGATGATGATGATGCTGATGATACTCATGATGATGATTTTGATGATTATGCTGATGATGGTGATGATGATGATCATAATGCTGACAATGGCGATGACGACGACGATGACGATGACGATGACAACGGTGAGGATGATGATGATGACGACGACAACGACGACGACGACGACGATGATGATGATGATGATGGTGATGATGATGATGATGATGATGATGATGATGACTGCGATGGCAACGGCAATGATGATGATATTGATGATGACGACGATAGTGATCATGATGATGATGATGATGATGACAAGGAGGATGATGAGGATGATGAAGAGGAAGAGGATGATGCTAATATATGCTGATGATGCCGCTGATGAGAATGGTGATGATGCTGATGCTGGCGATTTTGATCGTGATGATGATGATGAACATGATCATGATGATGGTGATGATGCTGCTGCTGATGATGATGGTGGTGATGGTGGTGATGGTGGTGGTGAATGTGGTGATTCTGATGATGCTGGTGATGATGATGACGATGCAGATGATGCTGATGATGCCGATGATGATGCTGATGGTGATGATGATGTTGATGTTGTTGATGATGACGCCGATGATGATGACGCTGATGTTGATGATGATGTTGATCGTGATGCTGTTGATGACGATGATGATGGTGGTGGTGATGGTGGTGATGGTGGGAGTGCTGATGATGATGTTGATGATGATGGTGCGAATGATGCTGCTGATGCTGATGCTGATGATGATGCTGATGATGCCGATGATGATGGTGCTGATGCTGATGCTGATGATGATGATGATGATGATGATGATGATGATGATGGTGATGATGCTGATGATGACAATGATGATGACGATGACAATGACGATGACGATGACGATGCCGATGATGGTGATGGTGATGGTGATGGTGAGGAGGAGGAGGAGGAGGTGGAGGAGGAGGCGGGAGGAGGAGGAAGAGGAGGACGGGGAGGAGGATGCGCAGGAGGAGGAGCATGGGGAGGAGGAGGACGACGAGGAGGAGGAGGAGGAGGAGGAAGTGACCATGGCCCAAGCAACGTTGGCTGATCCCCTGATCTTCGATCGGCCGTCCATGGCGCGGGAGAAGGAGGAGGAGGACGAGGACGAGGAGGAAGAGGAGGGGGACGAGGAGGAAGAGGAGGGGGACGAGGAGGAGGAGGAGGAGGGGGACGAGGAGAAGGATGAGGAGGAAGAGGAGGAGGAGGAGGAGGAGGAGGAGGAGGAGGACGAGGACGAGGAGGAAGCGGAGGCGGTGGCGCGCGAAGGCCGTTGAGCAGCACGCTGGTCGGCCGAACAGCGCAGGAGCCGAGCGCCTGGTGCAAGCGTACAACCGCTGCGTCCAGGGCCTCTCGACGTTCCGGTCGGTGCACTTCGAGCTGGCCTTCGCTTTCGTTCGGAAGGGCAGGGGCCAAACTCGCGCATACTTCGTGTCCTCGTCCTCGCCCTCCTTCCTCGTCGTTCTGGCGGGTGTCTCACGGTTTTGCTCGCAAGCCGAGCTGTTTCGCAGTGCCAGTTGTTGTGTGAGCTGTGGAGGCTAATGGAAGGCTGTGCTGCTTGTGAGGGCAAATATGTCGTGTCCCTCTCATCGTCCTGCTGCTGTTGCTCCTCCTCCTCCTCCTCCTCCTCCTCCTCCTCCTCCTCTTCCTCCTCATTAGTCCAGCTGCCTGCGGCAAACGCCGCCACCGTGTCAGCGCAGTTTGCTACCTGCTTCAGTTTAGCACCCTATCTGAATCGAGGCCAGTCTTAAGCACGCCCTCTTCGCCCGCAGCTCTGTTCTCCCCCTCCCGCCTCCTCGTCCTCCTCCACCCCTCTCCCCTCCTCTTGGCGGCAGGTTGGAGGCTTCCTGGAGGGTTCTTCTGGGCTGCAGAGAGTAGTTGGGTGCCCTCGTGAAGACCTTGGGGGATCGTGCATTTGGGTGCGATGGCTCGACCGTCGGCGCCACCCAAACATATTCATACTATGTGTGCGTCGCCCCCGAAAGGGGGGGGCGCGCGCCCAGAAATCTTGTAGTATATCCCCGTGGTGGGCGCTTCATGGCCGCACCGCGCGGAAAACGACATACTACAAGATGGATGTACTAGGTGTTCGGGTCGGACGCACGCCTCCGAGGAGGACACGTAGTACTAGTATGTCCTTCTGCATCCCAAACCCCTGTGGCTTTCGTGTGTGCTTCTCGGGCCGTACTAGAGGGCTGCCTCGGGGCCTTCCCTGGGCAAGGGGGCTTCTCGAGGCCGTCTTGTGCCGTCCGGGGTCCCCCTTGGGGCTCCCGGGAAGCTGTGCCGAGGCGGTCCGCAGCGGGGGGGCGCTCCATGAGAGCAACGCGCACCGATCAGACTCGGCTTTTCTGCAAGCGGCTTCTCTGTCAGGGCCCGTCTGGCCGCTCCGCAGCGGGCCCCGCCTCGCGAGCGTTCTCCCCCCTCCCCCTGCCCGCGGCCGCTCTCCCTCCCCCCCTCGTTCCCCACTCCTGCGGCCGGACACTTCGCGATGCCGTCCCCCGGCTTGCCCGAGCGCGCGTGCGGACCGCCGCTGCCGCGCCGCGACGTAAAACGTCTGTCGGGGCCCTGCTCGTCGCGCTTCGATGTGAGATCCTCCGGGCCCGGAAGCGATGGCCCGCGGTCTCCCGCACGGTCTCCCGCCATCGTCTCCCGCGTGTGGTCTCCCGTGCCCGCGTGGTCTCCCGTAGGGTCTCCCGCAGGGTCTCCCGGAGTACCGTGCAGTAGAGAGAGTTGTTTGGTGGAAGGAGAAGACAACTCTGGGCTACAACGCGCGTTGTGCCCCCTGCCCCCCCCTCCACACCAGAACGTGACGCTCCCCGCCTCAGTGCGCCCTTTGCGCTGCCGCAGGGCGTCCGGCGCCAGAGTCTGGGAGGGGGGGGGGGCGCCACGTGATGCCCCCTCCCGGCTCCCCCCCCCTCCTTCCCCGTAACGCCCGTAATGGCCGCGAATAAAAAATCGCTCTTGTTTAATCATGCTGCTTAGGGCCTCCTTCCACCAGGGTGTAATGGATTGCTTGTGACCTCCTTCGGGCCTCAGCGCGGGGGGGGGCTCTTCGGTGTTGTTTCCTGGGAGCTTCTTTGGACAGATTGGGGAATCTTGAAGACATCCTGGAGCCTCTTGGGGACCGTTGGGCCGTCTTGGGCTGGTTTTCGGGCAGGCCGCAGCGGTTCTCGGGCGGTCTTTGGAGCCGCCTGGGGGCCGAAGCGCGCCTTGGGAAGCAACACCTGGGAGGGGTCATGGGTGCCGCTTGGGAGTAGGAGGGGGGTGGGTGGGGGCGCAGACCCCGTCGAGTCGAAAAAAACGCGACGGGAGGTTTTTGGCTGTTTTCGCCGATCCCTAGAAATGGAACGAGACTTCTGGGTGTCGACGTTGTGAAAAATCGTGACGTCGGGGGTCTGGGGGGTCAGATGATGGACGCACACATCGTCGGTTCACCTCTGACATAGGCAGGGTGGGCGCCAAGGTCATGCACCCAAGAGGGGGTTTGGACACCAAGAGCAAGGAGGACGAGGACGAGGAGGAGGGAAGGCACGCATTCTGCCACTGCGCACCGTGCAGTCTCAGTGGCCGATCCCACCGCAAGCCCCTCGTCCTCCTGCGCCTGCTGCTGGCCCTCTGTCCGTCGCTCCTCTCTTTGATCACAGTCTCGGGGCGTCGTAGAGGGGAGGTCAATCCCAAGGTGGGGGCAGGGAGCGAGCCCAGCCCCACCTCTGCCCCTACTTCACCTGTACGTCCCCCGACAGGCGTTCCTCATCCTCCTCGTTTCCCCTCCCTCCCTGTCCTATTTCCCTCCTGCCCCTTGGTCCTTGCCACGGGGACAAGATGCAGGTGCAGAGTTTTCGGTGGCTCCGAGGAAGTGGGACGAGCGCAAGGACGAGGAGATCAAGGGCACTGGCGGCACGCCCTTCATGCCCCACCCTGAGAGGAGACCCTGATCCATCGGTGATCATCGGAGGGGAGGGGAGAGATGAGGAATAAGGGAGTACAAGATGGGATACGATACAACCGATCACGAAACGATGTATGAGCAACGGCCCCTGACCTTGAAGACTGGCGGGAGGACACGGAACCCGAAGCGCCCGAATTGGAGGAACAATTGCATGAAGATTGCACGCCATCATTGTGGAAACTGTACCGCCCACTTGACTGCAATACACACAACACCCACCGCAAAATGCGGGACGTGACATTTCACAGCCCTGCCAGTTGGGTCCTGAAATTTTCGATTGGCCTTCACCTTATTGATTGAGATAATAAGCTCAGATCCCTCGGACCCAAGCGTAACATTAATTATTCGAGACACGCGCGGTTGACATGATCAAAGGTGAAGACCACGCAGAAATCCGAAGCATGTTCGAGAACACGGGGGCACATCCACATCGTGGAGCAAAAACATCAGACCACCAGCGAACGCAAATCTCACCAAACATCGTAGCACGATGCACGGCATTGAAAAGGTTGAAACCAGTTGACCAAGTACATTGAGAAAAAATGCCTGCCTCCGTGCACGCCCGTTGCTGCCAGCAACCAGTTGCACCACTCCGCTGGAAAACAGACTATACTACCCTCCTTGGCAGAAATGGGAGGTACCCCCAGCTGGACGCCCCGAAAAGCATAACAAGTAAATCCCCATGCGGCTGAGACAGAAAACAAAACACAAGCACACAACAAACTGCAGAGCACTGAAAACGCATAGCGTACAATTATACCATAGGCGGCCTCCTGTAGGTGCGAAAGAGCGCGTTCTGTTGTGGTCGCTTGGAGGGGGGGGAAGGGTTGGAACTGGACCCCCCACCCCCCTGGATGGAGGGGGGGGGGGTTCGCACCCCCACCCCTCTCCCGTAACGAAGACAGAGGAGGTTTCAAGCCCCCCCCGCCCCCCTCTCCTCGGGCCGGCGCTTACGTCGGCGGCGGCTGGCGACGGCGGCGCGGACGACGATTTCCATTTCTGGGCAGGCGCCGGCCGGCGCCTGCGGCGGCGGGCGGCGGTGGCGGGGAGCGTCGACGAGGACGACGGTGGTGGTGGTGGTGGTGGTGGTGGTGGTGGTGGTGGTGGTGGTGGTGGTTGTGGTGGTGGTGGTGTGGTGGTTGTTGTGGTGGTGGTTTGTGGCGGTTGGTGGTGGTGGTGGTGGTGGTGGTTGTTTGGTGGTGGTGTGGTGGTGGTTTGTGGTGGTGGTGGTGGTGGTGGTGATGGGTTGTGGTGGTGTTGGTGGTGGTGGTTTGGTGGTGGTGTGGCGGTGGTTTGTGGTGGTGGTGGTGGTGGTGGGTTGTGGTTGTGGCGGTGGTTTGTGGCGGTGGTTTGTGGAGGTGGTGCTGGTGGTGGTGGTGGCGGTGGTGATGGGGTTGTGCTGCTGGTACTGGTGGTGGTTGTGGCGGGGGTGGTGGTGGTGTGGTAGGTTGGGTGTGGTGGTAGTGGTGGTGGGTTTTTGTGGTGGTGGTGGTGATGGTGAGTTGTGGTGGTGGTCGTGGTGGTTGTGGTGGTTTGTGGTGGTGTGTGGTGGTGGTGGTGGTGGTGGTTTGTGGTGGTGGTGGTGGTTTGTGGACGTTTGTTGTTGTGGTGGTGGTGGTAGTGGTGGTGGCGCTGGTGGTGGTGGTGGTGGTGGTGGTGGTGGTGGTGTAGTGGTTTGTGGTGGTGGCGGTGGGTTGTGCTGTTGGTAGTGGTTGTGGCGGTGGTGGTGGTGGTGGTGTGGTAGATTGTGGTGGTGGTGGTAGTGGTGGTGGGTTTTTGTGGTGGTGGTGGTGGCGGTGATGGTGAGTTGTGGTGGTGGTTGTGGTGGTGGTGGTGGCTGTGGTGGTGGTGGTTGTGTGGTGCTGTTGGTGGTGTTGGTGGCGGTGGGTTGAGGCGTTGGTGGTGGTAGTGGTGTTGTGGTGGTAGTGGTGGTAATCGTCGCTGCGTTCCCGCCGTCGCAGGCGCGAGGGGGGGGGTCAACCCCCCCCCCCTGGGAAGGGGGGGGGGAGGGGTTGGGGGTGAGGGGGCCCGACGGCGCCGAGTGTTGGGGGGGGCCCACCCCCGCGGTTTGAAACGCGCCGCCGAATGATCCCAAGGCAAGCGCCCGTGAAACGCGTTCTCTCGTAGGTGCGACAAGCCGGAACCAGCACAGTTAGGACACGGCGAAAATCAACTACTTGGCCACACCCAATCGAACGAAGTATAACGAACACCATGCGCATGGTGCCAAATTGCCAGAGCTGTGGGCTACGCTCCATCGGTGAGCGTGGCTAACCGCCTTGCCTGCCATGATACCTTGAATGAGATGTTCGGTAGAAGCGCGTTAAACAACCATCTGAAAATTCATACGCTGTAAGAGTGACCCTCCCGCCACTGCGTAGATTGTTATACACGCAAGGGTTAAGCAATACACCGGCTGAACATTATACTTGAGTTCGCACATTCTAGCCATCCCACGCTAATAGCCACGGAGACATGCGACAAACATTACATATTATTATTTCATCGCTTCGCTCAATCCGCTGGCCCGTATTGTACCATCGCAGGCGTTTGTCTGCGCGTTCGTGGCCTCTTGGAGGCCGTTTGTGGGCCTCTTGGAGCCACTTCTTGGGCTTCTTGGAGGTATTTCTGGGACCTCCTGGGGCGTCACGGGGGCCTCTCCTCTGAGGGGGCCTCTTGGGGGTCTCTTGGGGCCTCTCGGGGGGCCTCTTGGGGGCTTCTTTGGGGCCTCTTGGGTCCTCTAGGAGACCTCTCTGCGCCTAGAGCTGGAAATGTCCGGTCGGGTCCCTCGTCTGGGCCCGCTCTTGGAGCCGTCCTGGGAGCCTCTTCGGCCATCTTGGAGGCCTCTGGAGCTGTATTGGGGCCCTCTGGGGCCGTTTTGGGCGCTCTTGGAGGCCTCTTGGGCCGTGTTGGGGCGATCATGGAAGCCTCTTGGGCCGTCTTGGAGCGCCGTTAAGCCGAAAAGGCGAGAACGCCAGACAATCTTCAAACACTTACGGAAAATCGCTCATTTCTGCCTCTGCGGGCCCTCTTGGGAGGTCTCTTGGAGGCCTCTTGGGGCGTCTTGAAGGCGCTTCGGGCTGTCTGGAGGCCATCTTTGGCGTCTCGGATCGCTCTTGGACCGTCTCGGACCATGTTGAGCTCTCTTGGAGGCCACTTGAAGCGCTCCTGGAGCGCTCTTGGGAGCCTGGCCGGGACCTGCCCGTGACCTTCCCGGGACCTTGCCAGGATTTGTCTGGACCTTGCCGGGGTACTTTGGGACCCCCAGGGGCGGCCCCCCACGCGAAAATTAGACATATGTTTAGCCAGTTACCGGAGAGTTTAGCACGCCCTTGGCCCTGCGAGTTATTGGAAGCCCCCCGAGCACCAACGAGGAGGCAATGTGTTGAGAGCTCCATGGCAAGTTCGAGCCCAAGAGGGTACGATGCCTTGGGCCATCCGTGCTTGAGGAACAAGAAGGGAGGAAGAGGAGGAAGAGGAGGATGAGGAGGAGGAGAAGATGATGAGGATGATGAGGAGGAGGCAATAGAGAGAGGAAGGAGGAGAGACGAGGATGATGACGAGGATGATACTGATTATGCTGATGACTCTGATGATGATCATGATGATGATGATGATGATGATGATGATGATGAGGAGGAGGAGGAGGAGGATGATGATGATGATGATAATGATGATGATGATGATGATGCGGATGCTGATGCTGATGCTGATTATGATGATACTGATGCTGATGCTGATGCTGATGAGGATGAGGGTGAGGATGAGGATGAGGATGATAAGGGTGATGAACAGGATGAGGATGACGAGGAGACGAATGAGGATGATCATGATGATGATGATGATGATGATGATGATGATGATGATGATGAGCGGAGGAGGAGGAAACACGGGAGAGAGGAGGGAGGAGAGACGATACTGATAATAACGATGACGATGATGGTGATGATGATGACGATGATAAATATGATGATGAAGATGATGATAGAGATGCTGATGATGCTGATGATGATGATGATGACAATGATGATGCTGATGATGATGCTGATGCTGATGCTGATGCTGATGCTGCTGATGATGCTGATGATGATGCTGATGCTGATGCTTGTGATGATGCTGATGCTGATGCTGATGCTGATGCTGATGCTGATGCTGATGCTGATGTTGATGATGCTACTGATGCTGCTGATGATGATGATGATGATGATGATGATGATGATGATGATGATGATGATGATGATGATGATGATGATGATGATGATGATGATGATGATGATGATGATGATGATGATGATGATGATGATGATGATGATGATGATGATGATGATGATGATGATGATGATGATGATGATGATGATGATGATGATGATGATGATGATGATGATGATGATGATGATGATGATGATGATGATGATGATGATGATGATGATGCTGCTGATGATGATGATGATGATGATGATGATGATGATGATGCTGATTAGGAGGAGCAGGAGGAGGAGGAGGAGGGATGATAAGGGAGAGAGGAGACGGAGGATGAGCAGGAGGAGGAGCAGGAGGAGGAGAAGGAGGAGGAGGAGGAGGAGGAGGAGGGGGAGTAGGAGGAGGAGGAGGAGGAGGAGGAGGCGGAGGAGGAGGAGAAGGAGGAGGAGGAGGAGGAGGAGGAGGAGAAGGATGAGAGAGGAGGCGAGAGCAGGATGAGGGAGGAGCATCCCTCGATCAGCAGGATGCTCTGCGCTGTGGGACTGGGCCGGCGGTATCACCGCCACGATCGGGCCACGGACCAGCCTAAGGCCTTACCTGAAGAAGCATCGGAGTGCAACAAGGTCAGGGGTAACGTCAGGGGGGTAGGCTCAGGAGGGGATGCATCAACCCCCAATCGCCCAATCATCGACAATCGGTGCCCTGTAGCCCACCCCGCCCGGGAACGTGTGGATTCGCTGGCGGGGGCCTATCGCCGATGTATCGGCGATGCAGCGCCGAGTCCAGGTCGCTGTTTCCCCCCCTGCGCTGGCCCCCTGATGATTTTCGAGTCATGACTCGGGCCTCTGACGACCGTTCGGGACGATTTGGGCACCATCGGAACGCTCTCGGCGAGGCGCAGCTGCTGGAAGGCATCCGGAGGCTGGGAAGCCGCCTCGGACCGCCGAAAACGCTTGAAAACCCCCAAACCTCGAGCCTTGAACTTCGAACCTCGAACCTTGAAAGCCCCAAACCTCGAACCTCGATGCTTGCCCCCCTGAGCGGGTGCCCCCCTGACATTGCCCCCCTCGCCAGGGAGCTCCTCGTGGAGTGGCCGAAGTGACTTTTAGGGGCCGCGCGGGGCGTGCAGGGCGTTCGCGCCCGCCTGCCGCGCGTTTGGCGCCCTCCGCACGGCGCTGAGCCTCCCCCCCCCGGCACGCCCTTGCGAACGAACTCAGTCGTCGGCGTCGTCGTCGCTGTCGTCGTCGGCGTCGGCGTCGTCGTGGTCGTCGTCATTGTCGTCGTCGTCGTCGTCGCCGTCGTCGCCGTCGTCGACGTCGTCGTCGTGGTCGTCGTCGTCGTGGTCGTGGACGTCGTCGTGGTCGGCGTCGTCGTGGTCGTCGTCTTTGTCGTCGTCGTCGTCGTCGTCGTCGTCGTCGTCGTGGTCGTCGTCGTCGTCGTCGTCGTGGTCGTCGTGGTCGTCGTGGTCGTCGTCGTCGTCGTGGCACGCCCCTGCGAACAAACTCCGGACTCAGTCAGTCGTTGGCGTCGTCGTCGTCGTCATCGTCGTGGTCGGCGTCGTCGTCGTCGTCGTCGTTGTCGTCGTCGTCGTCGTCGTCGTCGTCGTCGGCGTCGGCGTCGTCGTTGTCGTCGCCGTCGTTGTCGTCGTCGTCGTGGTCGTGGTCGTGGACGTCGTCGTGGTCAGCATCGTCGTCGTCGTCGTCGTGGCACGCCCCTGCGAACGAACTCCAGAGTCAGTCAGTCAAGCCAGGCGCCAGGCAGGGGACTCCCTTGGAGCCGCCCGGGGGCGTTTCTGGGAGCCGTCGGGGTGCGTCCATGGTGCCTCTGGCGCTGTTTGACCAGCAGCTTGGGCCGCCTGATGGCCAGCCTGGGTGGTCCCGGGACCTGTAATGTACACAGGTCTTGAACAGCGGGCAGGTGTCGCCGAACGCTGCGGGGCTGCCGCAGGCAAGCACCGCAGGCCACGACGTGAGAGGGAGGCCTCCAGCCCCCCCCCAGCCGTCTCTCCTTCCTGCTCCCGCCTGGGCCGCCTGCCGCTGGCTTCTCCTCGCCGTGGTCGTCGTCCTCCCCTACCTCTCGTCACTCCTCCTCTTCCTCCTCCCTCCTCCTCCTCCTCCTCCTCCTCCTCCTCCTCCTCCTCCTCCTCCTCCTCCTTCCCACCCTCCCTCTCTCCCTCTCTCCCTCCCTCCCTCCCGGGCTGCCACGGCCGCAAGGGCTCCCCGGAGGGACCGGCACCCGCGCACGGGGCCCTTGCGGCAGCCGAAAGGCGGCGGTCCGCCTGCAGAGCGCCGCCTTCGGCGGTGAGCTCCGCAGGCCGCTTTAATTGTGGGCAGCGCCAAAAGACGGAGGCGTACAAGGGGAAGAGCAGGGGAGAGGGAGGAGCAAGGAAGGAAGGGGACGGCGGAGGCCGGCGGCGGTCGTCGGGGGGTCGTCGGTCGTCGGTCGGCGGTCGTCGTCGTTGCCGCCGTGGCTGCGCTGTTGCCGTGGTTGCCAGGCCGCTGGCCCCCGTTTTCAGCGCGCTCCTCGGCGGTTGCCACTGGCTGTGGCGGCGGCGCCGCCTATAGTGCAGCAGCGGCGGTGGCCGCATCGGCGCGGCTGAGGGGTCCGTGGCGTCTGCGCGGCGCTGGGGCCTCAATGGCCGATGGCGCTGAGCACCATCTCAGCGTTGCCTCGCTGGAGCTGGCGGGACAACTGTCGCCACACTGTGCCGAGCACCTCGCCCCGCTCCGCCTCGTCGAGGCTCTGTCCGTAAGCTCGGAAGAACTCTGCGGCTTCGTCTGATGGGCGGCCCAGCGTCTCGAAAACGAGCGGAGCGAGGTCTCCCCCGCTCGGGGGATATCGGTCCCGCTTTTCCCGCACCACGGCCGCTGCAGCAGCACCGTCGTTGTTGGAGCGCGCTTGCCTGCGAGGGGCGTACTCTGAGTATTCGCAGGTGATGCTCCAATCAACGTAAACGGGCCGTCCCGTACTGGGATCTGTCGTGGCGACGTCTAATTTAGCTGCTTCCAGCAGGCCTGTGCGCCGGTTGACGCGGTCCCACGCAGGGACAAGCTGCTCTGTGGCTGCAGCGAAGCCAGTGAGGCTGGTGTGTAGCTTCGCGTGCCAGTCCCGCATGCGGTCGTGGCGGGCGGTGCGGGAGTGGCCGACTCCGCAGCACCTCGCGTGCCACCCTCTCCGGTCAAGTGGCGCGGCGCAGATTGTGCCGTCTTGGCGACGGTGCTGGCACACGGCGCCTTGCGGACAGACATCGCATCGGAGGCGAAGCTTCATGGCGGTGAGGAAATGCTTGTCGGGCATGCTCGGGTCCCCCTCTTCTGTGGGCAGGACAAAACTGCCGGCTCCTGTCCCTCCAGCGCCGCGGAGTGCCAGGCGGTCGTCCTCCCCGAGTTCCCGAAGGAGCTTTGCTCGAGTGGCCGCAGAGCGCGCCTTGCCCCACGTGCCCTGCAGCTTGGGCGCGGGTTCCTGGAAGCATCCCAACCAATCGAACTCTCCGCTGATCGCCCCCTGGGCCCGAAGGTCAGCATCGGCTTCCATGAGCATTTGGTGTGTCAAGGGGCATTGCGCCCGGAAGTCTTCCCAGCTCGGGAAGCCTGCGGCACGAGCAACTTCCCTCATGGTCAGAGCCCAGCTTGCCGCGTACGCTGCGGAGGAGGTGGCCCGCGCGGAGGGCAGGGAGATGCCGCCGTCCTTGAGACGCATCGTGGCCTGCGCGCGCTGCTGCGGGTCGAGAGCGGCCCCGATGAGCTGTTCCAGACAGCCGAAAACGACGTCATCGAACTGGTCCACCCAGGAAAGGTCGCGGTTGGCTCGCAGGTGGTGCGTCACCCCGCCTTGGGCATAAGTGCGGAGAAGCGTGAAGGTGGCCCCCGCAGAGAGACCCGCTGCCCGCAACTCGCGGAGTCGGCCGCCGAACCTGACTGCTTTCGCCACCGCGGCGGCGCCGTCTGTGCCAGCGTGGACCAGGATCCGCTCCTCCTCCTGGTCCAGCCACGGCGCCGCGTTGCCCAAACACTTCAGATGCGGCACCCGGCGCCCGCTTAGCTCGGGGGGGAGGTCCGCGTTGGGATCCTTTGTCCAAGCTTGCGTTTTGTCTTCTTTGACTTGCAGTCCGTGCCGGGCAAGCGTCTCCGCGACGAGGCGGTTAGCATGCTGCTGTCGCGTGTTCTGGTGGGGCGAAGACCATCACGTCGTCCAAATAGCTGAAGACTTTGCAGGCGGGCGAAAGAGTCTGCAGCCCGGCGTGGATCTCGTCCAGGGCGCCCGCGATGGCGATGGCGAACAGAGCCGGGGACAAAGGGCAACCTTGGTCGACTCCGCTCGTCGCCCGGACTGGCGCGGCTTCTTCGGTGTCGTTCCAAAACATGTGTGTCGTTGTTCTGCTGAGCCACGCTGCCGCCGTCGGGCCGAGGTCCGGGGCTCGCGCCGCCACGCTGTCCAAGACTCGCTGCCGAGGGACGCTGTTGAAGGCGTTCTCGGCGTCAAACGCCAGGACCACTCCTCGCGGGTTTGCTTCGGTGAGGGCAGCGATAGTCTTGTGGACTAACTCGCAGCCTGCTGGTCGGCCGACTGCATATTGAAACTGGCCGCATCCCGCTTTGATGCTGGCCCCAAACACCGTGCAGGCCGCCCGCCCCGCCAAGCGCCGCAGCACGCCGCCGCAGGCGATTGGGCGGATAGTTCCATTCGGTTTGCGGAGAGCCACGAGCCGGGCCCCGAGGTTCGCTTCCATGGCTCCTGGGCTGAGCTGTCCGTAGAGGAACAAGACCACGACTCTGGCACAAGCTTCGAGGGCAAGAGTGTCACACAGCAGGGTACGCCAGTGCTCAAACCGAGAACCGTTAGGCCCGGGGCCAGACCGGCGGGGAGCGCGGCGGACGTGGTCTTTGACCGCAGCGAGGAGTTCGTTTTGCAGGCCCTCGTCGAGTGGCTGCGGAGCTTGCCCGTTCCAGGTAGCAGGGGGCCCCGTCGGGAAGAGGTCCTCCAGAGTGGCGTGGACGCCGCTGCCCTGCGCTGGCGTCGTCGGGCGGGCGACGGCCGTCATCGCCTTGCTGACCAGACCCTCCTTCACCAGCGTCTCTGCCTGCTGGGCGGTTCGTTCTGGCGTGGGCCGCCGGCCGCGGCGCCCAGGCGGGCGCGTGCCATGGGCGTGGGCGGCCCGCCACAAAGCAGCCCAGTCCCCCCGCTGAGCCAGCCTCAGTCTGCTGATCAACACCTGGCTTAGACCCCGTCCCTTTGCAGTTTTGCCGCCGCGCTGCTTCTGGCTTCTGTGAAGCATGATACGGTCGAAGAAGGTGAACAGCTTCTCGGCTCGTTGTTGCGGAGCGCCGCCCCCAGCGTTGTAAGCATTCAGGAAGGTCTCCGCGATTCGACCGCGCAGAGAGGCCAGTGCGCGTGCAATTTCGTCGGGCACCTTCACCACAGTGGGCACGTCGTGGGCGAGACTGTCGTACGAGACACCGTCCCACCAAGCCAGATTGAGGAGTTCCGTCTGGTGTCCGTTGGGCGCGTCTCCTTCTAGTTCCTCTGGCAAGTCTCCAGGGTCGCCGTCGTCTGTGCCCTGCAAGGGAGCGGCGCCCCCCTCTGAGCCGTGCTGCCGCGCCCTCTTCGCGCTGTGAACGTCTTCGACGAACTGGGCGCGGGTGGGCTTCCCAGGTTGGTCGCAGAGGTCGCGGACGATGTTCTTCTGGGCGTCCGTGAGACGGTCTGTCCCCGCGACTCTGTCATACGGCCCCAAGCCGCCCTCCACGCACTCTGGGTGGTAGTAGAGTTTATGCGCGAGCGTCGTGCTGAAGGCGCGGAGGTCCCCTCGTCGTATCGGGCCTTTGCAGGACTCCACGTGGCAGTAGCAATTCCTGCGAGTATTGAGCACGTCGACGCTCCAACTGGCGACTCGGAGCTCGCGCTCGGCGGGCCTCTGCTCCGGATGTGGCGCCGGGGGCGGCGGCACTGCATCGGGGGGCGGCTGGTGCTGGAGCGGGGCGGCCGCAGGGAACGCTGGCGAGACCACCGCCCGGGCCGTCAGCGCGACGAGCGCCAAGGCTGGCATGTCGGACGCATACGCTCCAGGGCTCAAAAGCCAAGTGGCTCCCAGCGTGAGGCCTCGACACAATGGGCGGTCGACATGGAATTCTGACCCCAGGGCCAGGGCGCATGCCCAAGCCACTGTGATCTGGGCGAATCCGCCGTGAACGCAGGCTCCGTAGCACAGGAAATCCAAAGGTCTGGCGCTCAAGCATGCCGCTATGGTCACCATGGTGGGGTGCGCTGGCCCA